TCTACTCTGACACACATGAGGCACCATGAGTGGAATCTACTTATGAAACATCATCCACTGAGAACCCTGTGGGCACAGTTCTACTCTGACACACATGGGGGGGGGGGGCATCATGAATCGGAGTCGACTCTGTGACAACCAGTATAGTTTCTTTTTTCATACAAAACGCCTCAATTTAGAGTAAGATTTTAATAAGCACAGCTTAATTAATTGGTTTTTTATTATCATTTGGGTGAAAGTTTATTAGCACTTTAGTTTCCATTCACTAATTCATACATTTTGTTTTGTTTTGTGATGTTCACTGCCACCTCCCTGGCCCCCCTTCCTCCCTGACCTCCCCCCCTCCGGGTATCCCCGTATAACAGCATTTTCCCCGTTTTCCACATCCTCCCTTGCTCCCCGTTTCCACTCACCCTCTTCCTGCCGCTGCCTGCCCGCTGCGCTTTGTTTTGGGGCAAATGTTGTCCTTTCTGGTCTCATGTTGTTCTGAGAAGTGTACTCCTCCTAAACTTTTTTATACTTTGTTTTGTTTTGTTGTTGAAAGTCTTATACCTTTGGTCGATTCTTCCATCAAAAGAAACCGTCCAATAGTACTCTTCTTACTCAATACAGTGCATGCCATCAAACACATTTGGGATTTTTTTAAATGTTAAAGGAACAATTTAAGTGTTGAAACGATGAATAATGTGCATGAAAGAAAACAGTATATTTCCTATTTCAAGAGCTGACAGTTTATGACAAATGTTTTAAGTTTTCAGTAGAATGGCTCCAGTTGTACTCATCTTGCTGGCTTCTTGTTTTGTTCTTGGTCGTCGAGTCAGCTCCGACCCATAGCGAGTCCATGTGTGCAAAGAACTCCCCCCGGAGGGTCTCTAGGCTTCATTTCCAAGACACCTCTGGGTGAACTCTGACGTCTAAACTCTCGGTTTGAGCACATGCGCCTGTGCACCACTCAGGGACAGATGTAATCATTGGTGTTGCCATCACTGCAGTGGAATGACCCTGTGTGTGCTCCATGCTGTTTCAAGGCTGTGGCCTTTCAGAAACGGACTGCCAGGTCTTTCTTCCAAGGTACTTCTGCCAGGGTTCAAACCGACAACCTTGAGGTTAGTAGGTCAGCACTTCGCTGTGTGTGTCCCTCCCAGGGATCTGTACTAAGTTGCTTTTCCAAGTCTGTCTCATGTTACTACTGTGCCGAGTTGGTTCCGACTGACTCATTGTAGGGTTTCTGAAGCAGTACATATTTATAGGAGAAGAGAGCTTCATCTTTCTCCCAGGGAGTTGCTGGTGGGATTGAACCATCAACCTTGTGGTTAGCAGCCCAACAAGTAACCCTTTCAAGTCTGTGTAGGAGAATCTAACTGGACTTTTCTCTGACCAGGTGGACACCAGGCTGTCTCAGTTTACGGACCCGAATGTATATCTGTGGGATGTGTACCGCAGCAAGAGGCTTATTAAAGTGGAAGGTGTGGTGACACAGAAGAGGAAGTCCTACTGTGTTGATTTTGCTGCCATCCGCTCCCAGATTGCCTTGCTCCGGGACACCCACGTCTCCCACTTCCACTTCTCCCTGGACTGGGCCCGCATCCTCCCCTTGGGTAACCAATCTGGGGTGAACCACACAGTCCTGCGTTATTACCACTGCCTGGCCAGCGAACTGGTACGCGCCAACATCACCCCGGTGGTGGCCCTGTGGCAGCCGATGGGCCCCCACCATGGGTTGCCTGTCCCCCTGGCCCAGAGGGGTGCCTGGGAGAACCCCCACACCGCCCTGGCTTTTGCAGAGTATGCCCGGCTGTGTTTCAGCAATCTGGGTCACGCCATCAAGTTTTGGATCACAATGAACCAGCCACCAACAAGGAATATGACGTACAGCGCGGGGCACAACCTCCTGAGGGCCCACGCATTGGCGTGGAGGCAGTATGATGAGCACTTCAGGGCCTCCCAGAAGGGCCAGGTGTCCATCACCCTGCAGGCGGACTGGATAGAGCCAGCTTGCCCTTTTTCCCAAAAGGACAAAGAAGTGGCCGACAGGGTGTTGGAATTCGACATCGGCTGGCTGGCGGAGCCCATTTTCGGCTCTGGAGACTACCCACGTGTCATGAGAGACTGGCTGGACCAGAGGAACAATTTTCTGCTCCCTTATTTCACGGAGGAGGAGAAGCAGTTAGTCCAGGGCTCCTTCGACTTTGTGGCGTTGAGCCACAGCACCACCATCCTTGTAGACTGGGAGAAAGAGGATGCCGGGAAATACAACCAGTACCTGGAGGTGCAAGAGATGACAGACATCACTTGGCTGAATTCGCCGGGCCAGGTGGCCGTGGTGCCCTGGGGGCTGCGCAGGGTGCTGAACTGGCTGAAATCCAAGTACGGAGACTTCCCTGTGTACATAATGGCCAATGGGATCGATGATGACCCGCAGGACGCCGAAGACCAGCTGAGGGTGCACTACATCCGCCACTATGTCAACGAGGCTCTGAAGGGTAAGGGCCCTAAGACTGGGGTCGCTGGAGCGTTCGCCCACCAGAGGGCGCAACAGCAGACCACCCATTGCCATCAACTCCATTCCAACCCACGGTGCCCCATCTGTGTCTGAGTAGCGGCTGTGCTTCACAGGGTTTAAATGGCTGATTTTTCGGAAGTATATCACCAGACCTTTTTTCTGTGGTGCCTCTAACACAAACCAGCAGCCTTTTGGTTAGTTGTTGTTGTTAAGGGTCATAGCGACTCTGTGTAGGGTTTCCAAGCAAAAGCTGGTGGGTTTGAATTGTCGACCTTGTGGTTAGACGTCCAGGGATTCTTCTGTAGCGCCAGGACTCCTTTGATTCGTAGCTTTGCTCACTGAAAAACCATTTGTACCAATTCAATTCTGACTCACAGC